TTCTACTATATAAACTGTTTTCAGGAACAGATGCAAGAAGTTTTAGATGCTATGTTTGAAAGAAAGGTAATATATTGTTTAATCAAGATTCATATTATATTTATTTAAACTCAATTTATACAGTAATTTGTATTTATATTTTATAATTTTTTAAAAATATATTCTTAGTATTAATTTTTCATGTGTATATATATTTAGGTGCAACCAGGAGATATTGTTATTAAGCAAGGTGATGATGGAGATAATTTCTACATAATTCAGCAGTATGTGAACAGTTTTTAAAATTTAAATTGTTAAAATTTTCAATATTTTAACTACATTTCATTGAAAATTAAATGAATTATGTATTTATTTACATTATAATGGAACATTAAAATTCAAATTTGTATAAATATATATTTATATTTATATAAGTTTTCGATATTTATTCAATGACAAACTGAATAATATCAGATATTAAAAGCTGACAATAGCTCTTGTAAAACTTTCCTGGCACTCAAAATATACAAAGTTAAAATTATGTGTGACACCATCTGTTATGAGTAGACTGACCGCATGTACTGTTTTGAATGGGACAATACTGTTTTTGCTCTGTCTCCGCTGTCAAAATTTTAATAAATTTTGACTTTTGTTACATATTTTTGAAAATCAAAAAAGTTAGCTATCTAGTTTGAATGCCCATGATCAGATGCACTTATTTTAATATGCATACATGTGTAAGGTGACAATTTTTGTTGATTTTTCATGAATTTGACAATTCTGAAAAATTCTGTAATGTGTCTTCATATTCACATTTCAAATTTCAATGCCATATGCTGTTTAGTTTACAAGGTATTTCTTGTTACCAGAACAATTCTTGAAGAAGAACATCTTGGAGTGTTCTTGGTGGAAGCTGATCAGATGCAACTTGTTCCCCTAGAGCATACCATATATATTCTGCAGATTTAGATCTGGAGATCATGCTAGCAACATTAAAAGACAAATATCTTCACTGTCAAGAGTGCAGCTCTGTGTGTATGGGCATTGTCAATAAAAGTGAAATCTGCACCCACAGTGCCTTGGAAAAGTCTCGTATATGGTTCCAAATCCGTGTCACTGTACCTTCTTATGATAATGGTAGCCCTTACAAAACATGGAACTTAGTCAGTTATTAAAAATAATGCCACCCCTTGCAAATTGGTGGTATCATTCAAACTGATTCCATGATGTTCACGGGACATCTATCAAGTTCCTCACTCTCTTAGATTCTAAACATTCTGTAGACAGTACCTAGACTCATCAGTGCACAGAACATTGCCCCATTCATTCGAATTCCAACGTCAATGTTCTTGACACTTTACGTATTAAATGTGCTGTTCTATGCACAGGAGCAATGAAATGTAACATACTGGACATCTGGCAAAAAGACTGCATTCTGTAGACATTTTTTGTGAAACTAACAACAATAGCAATAGACAGCTCTTCTGAGAGCTGCCTGCCACATATTCTTTTTTTATGATATGCTGTTAATGTCAGATATGTCTTGTTGATGGATGGTAACTCTTCTGGATTGATGTCCAGCACCTGTTCTTTGAAATCTGGCCCAAAGCCTGCATATGATGTTCTACAACACAATTAGAGGCCTGTAAACATCTATCTGTGACTGGCATGCTTCTGCAGAGGCTCTAGAATTAGAGGCTGAGTAGATCATGGCCCACCTATTTTCCTTCCCTGCTAAAAATTAAAGAAGCTTAAAATTTAAATCAGAAACATAAGCATATACATATACACAAACACACACACACACACATATATATATATATATATTATATATATATATATTGCTAAACAAGTTACATATTTATTTATTTAGTTTTACTTTCTCAACTGTTAAAACATATTATTATAATTGTCAGATTTGACCCTCCAGGTTTTTGAAATGTCAACATTTTGAGACCCTCTAAACCCAAAAAGTCAAAAAACTGATTCCTGGGATATGTGTACATGTGTTGGCATCTATTTCATTTAATATCTTGAGATAGGGTAAAGATTAAGAAGTGAAATTTGGCATAGTAACTTGTATGTAAGGGGTATTGATACTATTAAATTTTGGTAGTTAAAGGTCAGGATGGGAGATAGAGGGGATCATGTCACATCTTGAATGGAGTCAGATTTAACAAAAATTTTACCTTAGCTTGTAAGCACTAAATTGGCCTTTCTCTATTGCTAGACTTATTACACCACCACAGGACATCAGATTAGCCTTAGAAAATCACTTTATTATTTTAAAAATGAATGCATTTTGGACCTTATTGTACAATAACTATATTCAAGAAAAAACATATAAGTTAGATTATATTAACAGTAAAAAAGTTTTTCAGGTTGTAATTCAACTTACATAATTTTGAGATTGATGTTAGCACATTTATGAAAAATACAGTGAAATTGCGATGATTGGTAAAGTGCTTACAAGCTAATACAAAGACTAGACAAGAAGAATATCATAGTAAAAAATTTTACTTGTTTCTAGCATTTACAATTTTTTAATAACTGATCTCAATCTTCAAAATTAAGCATTACAATGAAATTAACGAGCATAATTCGTTCCAGAATCTTTCTTGTAATGCGAAACACTCGTTAAGTGAAACAATTTTTTCCATAGAAATTAATGTAAAATACAATAATGTGTTCCAATCCAAAAAAATACTCAAATATTTTATGTATAATGTTTATTAAAAGAAAATTACACAATATACATTGATAAGAAGCGTGAATCATCTTCATCTTTTCTTATAGCACAGAATGAACCAACCTGGAATGCAAATTCCATTTGCAGAAAACAAAGTCACAGATAATGTGTCTGATGAAGATGCCAAATGATATGTTAAATTCTTGGGTTATAATTAAATATTAGAAATTAATTAATTTGACTAGAGGCAGGCAGTTATGCTGACATCTCATATTAAATTTAATAATTATAAATAATTAATTTTTAATTTAGATATTTTTAAAATTTAATTTGGAATTGGTCATTAAATTTAGTAAGAGATGGCGTGTTTATTATATAACGGGTTATGATTGTCAATGTTTATACGTAATATGTGTGAACACAAGTTTGGAAAAATGTGTAATCATGAGTGACACTAAGATACTAGCGGAACGAGTGCTAAACACAGACTGATGGAACATGTGCACAATCCAGGATTTCCTTTCTCGCACTCGTTATGCGAAACATCACTCATTAAGCGAGTCAATTTTTTTACAATTTGTTTTGCTCATTATGTGAGGTGCTTCTTAAGCAAGGTTCCACTGTATTTTTTTTATAGTAATTAATAATATAAAAGCTATTTTTAATAAAAATTTTATAACAGTGGCACCACACACAATTTTAACTTTGTGCTAATGGGTCTGAGTGTTGCTTAAATTAAACTCAAGTATTTTTCACTAGGAAAGTTATGCAACTTGTTACTGGAATTTTTTTTATGTAAGAAAAATATAGAGATTGTTTCATATCTTAATAAATATATAAATTTAATTTATATCACTTTTTAGCCAGTGCTAGCTGCACTCTACTAAAAGTTTCTTCTGTAGCTCTTGTTCTAGACTTCCAATAATTCTTCTTTTTATAAAATATTTATGCAGCATCTTTGTGGCATTATTATTGTCAGTACCATGGTACTGTATTTATGGAGCCTGTATTTTTGAAAAAACTTGTGCTTTTCAGTGGAACACTGAACTACATTATGGGTACTTTTATTGTCTAGAAACATTGAAAATAAATTGCAGAAAATTTGTATTTATTTTTGCTCTCTCAATGCATTAGAGAATTATGCTATATTCAGACACAAATGTATATATTTTCAAAATGAATTATGCTGATGCTAATGTGTGAGTGTATGTGTACATTAAATATTGCAGTGTTTTTCAACCGGGGTGCCACTGTGCCACGATTGGGGTGTTGCAAAGTTTAGGGTCTTTAGTCATTTTCTTGGAAATTTACTTAAGTGTAGTTCAAGATAACTCATTGTCAGTTCTATTTTGCTACGAAATATCTAGTAAGCAAAGAAACGATGACTAATCGCATGTTAATATAATGTTCAACGCTACGTGTACGCACGACACAAACACACACACACACATATATATATATATATATTATATATATATATATTGCTAAACAAGTTACATATTTATTTAGTTTTACTTTCTCAACTGTTAAAACATATTATTATAATTGTCAGATTTGACCCTCCAGGTTTTTGAAATGTCAACATTTTGAGACCCTCTAAACCCAAAAAGTCAAAAAACTGATTCCTGGGATATGTGTACATGTGTTGGCATCTATTTCATTTAATATCTTGAGATAGGGTAAAGATTAAGAAGTGAAATTTGGCATAGTAACTTGTATGTAAGGGGTATTGATACTATTAAATTTTGGTAGTTAAAGGTCAGGATGGGAGATAGAGGGGATCATGTCACATCTTGAATGGAGTCAGATTTAACAAAAATTTTACCTTAGCTTGTAAGCACTAAATTGGCCTTTCTCTATTGCTAGACTTATTACACCACCACAGGACATCAGATTAGCCTTAGAAAATCACTTTATTATTTTAAAAATGAATGCATTTTGGACCTTATTGTACAATAACTATATTCAAGNTTTTATTTAAAATATTGGATATAGATATTGATGTAACAAACATAAATACAAATATGTAAAAATTTTATTACAAGAAAAATAATTCAATTTTGCAAATTTGTGATGATTTTGAAATTTGCAGAATTATACGATATAATAATATATTATAAAATTGTTTCTTAAACAATCAATAGGAAAAGATTAGCATTTACATATAAATATTTTTGAATTTATAATTTCTCTTTGAACAAAAATATTCAAAATGTTAAAACTTAAAAAGTGATGACATGCAATTATAATCAATGACAGCAACAAATTTTCCATATGATAAATTCCAAAATATATTTGCAATTTATTCAAAAATGGGTTATATTGATGACTATATTCTGAATGATAGACCATGCCTAAATAATTATAAACTTGTCTATTATTCAACAATATTTTAAAGTGTTTTTTTAAATATTGTGTAAGATATAATGAGAATATTATTGTTTTAATCTTTTATTAAAATTGGATTTAAATATTTAAGAACTATTTTATATAGTATTTCTGAAATAAATACTATATAGTAGCATTGTCTTCCTATAAATATTTAAATGAAAATTACAATTGAAATCTTGAATTATTTCAAAATTTAATTTTTTAAATAAACACTCAAATATAATCTATTTTTAAATCAAAATTGTTTATATAAGTTTAAGAATCAAATAAAATTATATGTGTGAGAATTTTTGCATTTCAAATTTACTACAACTGATTTTTAATGTGCATAAATTATTTTGATAAAATTTTATTTGAAATTAATTACATTTTTTGTATATAATAGCATTTTAAAACACTGTTTTTATTTTAGTGGTCTTTACCATGTATTTGTTTCTACTGATAAAGATGAAAAAGGAAATATGGTAGGAAAATATGAAGATTCTGGAAGTTTTGGCGAATTAGCATTGATGTACAACATGCCTCGTGCTGCCACTGTAGAAGCAGTTACTAATGGATCTCTCTGGGCTATGGTATTTGTTTGCCATTTTTATGTATATAATGATTTTATTAAATATCTAAGAACATATTTTATTTTATTAATTAAATTCAGAATAGACAAACATTTCGTCGTATTGTTTTAAAAAATGCTTTTAAAAAACGAAAAGAATATGAGCAACTTTTGGAAAGTGTACCAATGTTAAAATCCTTAGAGGTATTTATATATTATTCAATATTTACAATGTTATAATTTATTATTTACTTATCTCTTTTAAAATATTCTTAAAGTATATTTATATATACTTTAAAAATATTGTAAAGATTAATAGAATATTAATTATGCATGATTATTTTGATAAATTTATTTATTAATTTTAATATTATATTGTAAAATCCATTCAATGCTTATGAGACATTTATATCATTATTAAATAATTGTTTTATTTGATTTTATACGATGATAATTCTTAAAATTTTTATAAATTTTTATAATTCACTGAATATAATAATTTTAAGTTTCCAGTTTATTAATAATTAGAAACTTACTGCTGTTATACAGTTTGGATGATGTAATAATGATTATCGTTATGAAGTGGACCCCCATTTAATATTTTCTCAAATATCAACAGCTTAAAATTGAAGCAGATTTAAAATTGGGCTTTAGGTGTTTGCATGACAGTGCAGAAAGCAAAAAAAGACACAAAAACACTCATTACCTTTTTATCTTGTGAATGTTAAAAGGGATTCTTCTAGTATAAGTAACAAATATATATATATATATATACCCAAAGAGGGATGCAAGTGAAACAAAATTTTGCACCCAAAATGCATTGTGTAATAAAGACTAACAATTGTAACCCTTAGTAGTTTTTGTCTCTGATAAAATGCAGTTATAGATAGAAAATGGCAATGGTATTCAGTATTACCCCTTAAAGTTTTAATTTTTTAAGAAGATTTTTTAAAAGGGATTCTTCTATTTAAATATTATTTTTGTTTTAAAAATTATATCATAAATGATTTTGAATATGTTATAAAAAATTTTACACATAGCATGTCAACTGAATTTTTGCAATAAGAAAACATAGAATCAATACATTTGAGTGAAATTTTATTTTTATTGAACATATTTCCCTCTGACATTGATGCATTCCTTGCAACAATCATACATCAGTCAAACATTTTCAAAATATCATCACAAGTTAAGTTGCTTAAAATTCTCATAACATTACTCTTAATGCCCTCAAAGTCCAAACTGTGCTACCCATTCAGGGCAAACTTCAACTTTAGGAACAAAGCAGAGTAGGATAATTGATTGAGTACATATGGAATTGTGAAGTTGCAATCTCTCATAGACTAATGAATTCCCCGAAAGGCCTTTGGTAAGCTACATGTAACATCTACCTAGCCCAACTCTTTAATTAATAATAAGTTTAATAAAAATATTTATTGCTATAGCTAAGTAGCTTTTGCATGTATTTGTGTAGAATATTTAAATGGTAAATGATTTCGTTTAAAGTCCTCTTTTTCCCTGATAAATAAAAATAGGCATTTTAATTTTACATTTTTTTAAACCAGAATACAGTTTAAAAAATTTTGGGGCTTAGTGCCAAAGGCATGGGATGGCTTAGACATATTAAATACTTTTTCCTAAATTTTCTGTGCTGATGTAGGGAGTGTCTTTCATACTATAAAATATAGTAAATTTATCTTTAAACTTTCTGAATTTACAGTACAAAATATTTAGAATATATTATCAGATTCTGAAATATAATGTGCTACTAATAAGTTTGGTTATACTTATTTTTTCATTAAATCACTATAATTTTGTGAACTTTTTGAAATTATAAATTCATAATGATAATTTTTTTTAGCCTTACGAAAGAATGAATTTATGTGATGCTTTAATGCCAAAGCAGTATACAAATGGTGAATTAATCATAAGACAGGTACCTTTTGTTATTTTATTAATTTAGTATTTAACTATTTATGACTAAATTTTAATCATTGATTTATATGATATTGTTGTTTAAACAAAAATTGATTATTATTTTCTGGAAAGCAATATTATGTGATGTGAAATAGGATAAATGTGATAATGTCATAAATATAATTATTTTATACAAAATTCTTAATACTAGAGAAATAATACTTATGATGCTTTATAATTATAAATCTTATACATCATTGTTACATTTATCCCATTAATGTAAGTACTCATGTTCATGCTTTTATAAATAATAAAATCTAAATTCAGATTTTTCAAAGTTAAAAAAGTTAAGTTTAAATTTTAATTTAATATATTCTTTTTGTTTTCCTTTTATCTAATTAGAATTCTTATTAATTGCATTTAGAAAACATCATATATAATACAGTTACAGATTATCATACTAAAACTTAATAAAACCCAATTCTAAAATATATTTTATTATTAAATATTAACAAATTAAATATCAAACTCAGCTTCTTTTAAAAACACTTAATAAAACATGTAACACCTTCTATAACTGAAAAAACTTTATTTAAACACAAACGTTTTCAGCCTAATGGAATAGACCATCATCAGGTGAACTGGCATTCAAACGTATTTCAAAATATTATTAAAGCGAACGTTCGACCATTATAAATTCAAAATTAAAACAAAAAATAAATAAATTAACAAATCAATAACAAAAATAATATACTAAATAACAATATAAATAATATTAATAAAATAAAACAAATGCATAAAAAAGGCATCACAATGTACGGGCAATTAGGGACTACGAATTTGCATATTTTAATTTTTCTTTTATGAAGAACTTCCATGCAGAAGCTAATCCATTTGCATCCCTTGCATTAATACAGCTATCCCTTAATTTACTTTTGTAGATTTCAATCTTTTTATATTGCAAAGCCAATGATAGGGACTGCAAGGTCTTGAGAATAGTTGCTTCATTCCATTTAACCTCAGAAGCCTCCACTTGTGCCATACGGCACGAGTGGATGCTTTGTGTTTCCATTAGGCTGAAAACGTTTGTGTTTAAATAAAGTTTTCTCAGCAATAGAAGGTGTTACAAGTATTAAATATTAACTTTGAACAGATTTCAGTCTAGATCATAACTGATGAATATGCAATACTTGCTCAAATTTATTTAGATGACAACTCTTTTATTATATTATTTAATTTATATAAGAAAATCTAACAAATAAAAAACTTCCTACCTAATTAAAAAGAATGATGTATATATGAAGATAATCAAAAACATAGTCAAGAACTACAAGAACTACAGGATTATATTGGCCTATTATATTACGATTATTTTAAATTAATTACTAAATAATTTGTCACTAGAGGAAGGTAATCTCTCTAGGATATAATCTGGTAGTTGTTGGTGTATTACATATGTACAGTACATTGGGTTTGTAGATGTTAGTTGGTCTCTAAATATTATGTAATTTATTAACATAGAAAAATTTATTTAATCTAGCTATCCACATTAAATTCAAATTTTTATCACATAAATCTATGTGTATTTCCACTTCTTGATATTTTGTGGTGGTAGGGCTTGCATGCTCTGAGAACTCCAAGAGCTATGCTGATGATAGCTAAGCTACTGGCAGGACTTTCAGACTAAGTGAGATGCTTAGAAAAAGGAAAACTCTGAAACCAAACCATGGTGGTGGATACTTACCATTAAATGCAGAAACTATTCTATCCACAGCACCGGGATGAAAATGATGTCACACTACGGAACCTGTGACTGGTGCTCTGTGCGTATATGTTAAAATATCCTGACAAACGTTTTCGAGCGTTCCAATCGCTCTTCTTCAGGTCAACTGAAAGAATTCCCCGAACGGAGTGTATATTATTCTCTAAGATCGGGTGTCGGTTTCGAGGGGGTGGGTCTCTTCCGGTGCATGCGGTCGTGCGGCGGGGGGAGGAAGCGGTGGGTTGGCGTCCAATAGCGATTGCCAGGCCAGAGACAAGGTTAGTTCCTCTTTCCGGTTAATGCAGGTAGTTAGCCGGTCGGCGTTGTGGATAGCCGCGGCTTCCAGCCATCTAAGCTGCTGTTGGTGGGGCGTGTTGACAATAATGGTAGCCTTCTCGAAGTGCACCTCGACTTCGGGGTCGGATGCATAAGTGGCTAGGGCTGTGGTCAGCCTGCCGTGCCGGATATCCGCTTGGTGTTCACGTAGGCGGGTGCTTAAAGAGCGTTTGGTTGAGCCGATGTACAGTAGCTCTGCGTTTTGTCTATTGTCATGGAGCGGGATAGAGTAGATACCGGGGAGTCTGGTGCGATCGGGAGGGTCTTTATCGTTTCTTAGGATGCGGAAAATCGTGGGGCATCTTCTGTATGCCAGTCGAATCCCGTGCTCTTTGGCTATTCTTCTATGTATAGTCTTGAGGTGCGGGTTGTATGTGATGGGGATCCGTGTCGGGTTATCCCGTTGCGGGTCGGCGGCGGTCGCTGCGGTTAGGGTGCGTTTCCGGTGCTGGTACTGTTCAATTAAGCGGTGCGTTATGTTCGGGAAGCCGTGTACAGTTGCTATTTTTTTGATGCGGTCTAATTCATTCGTCAGGGCTTGCTTGGTGGATGAGTGTGAGAACGCCCTCTCCACAAGAGCTCTAAATGCGGCTGCCTTGTATGCGAACGGGTCACAGGAATCAGCTGGTATGTACGTGGGGGTGGACGAGGGCTTGTGGTATACGGCTGTTTGGATGGTGGGTCCTACTATCTTTATTCCGATGTCGAGGAAATGTACTTCCTCTGCGCTAGCTTGTTCCAGCTCGACCGTCAGGCCGAAGGGGTTGTCGTTAACGGTTCTGACGAAGGATGCTATGTCGGGTATCTCCTTCCATAAGATGAGGATGTCATCAACATATCGTTTATACACGAGGATGCTAGGAAGGAAAGGCGAGAGGGCCTTGGTCTCCAGCTGCCTGACGACCATTTCGCAGAGGTCGCCCGAGAGCGGGCTACCCATCGGTACGCCCTTTTTTTGCCGGTAGATAGTGTCGCCGAATTTAAACACGGAGTCGTAACATGCCAGATGGGCCACCTCGAGTACCTGTTGGTGTAGTGCTTGGTCTTGAACAGTATTAAACAAGAAATCTCTGAGGGAGCAGAAGGCTGGGGGTAGTTCTATTGAGGGGTACATAGACTTGAAGTCCAGGACTGTCATGAACTCTGGTGGGGAGGGTAGGTCCTGCAGGAGGCGGATGAGGTCGGTCGGTTTACTCACGTTGTAGGGGTAGTCTTCCAGATGGGGAGTCAGAAGGTTGTGTATGGCTTTTTCTAACTTTCTCGTGGGCGCTCTCACCTTGTCCACAATCGGGCGTAACTGTTGGCCTGTCTTATGTGTCTTAGCATAGGCGAAAAGCCTAGGGACGTCGGGCGAATCGACCACTATGTCACGGAGTGCCAGGCGTTTAGCCAATTTAGAGTCAGCCAGACGTCTAACCTTAGCTTGTAGTCTGTCGATTACATCATCTTTCTTTTTCTCACACATTTCCCCATCACATACAACCCGCACCTCAAGACTATACATAGAAGAATAGCCAAGGAGCACGGGATTCGACTGGCATACAGAAGATGCCCCACGATTTTCCGCATCCTAAGAAACGATAAAGACCCTCCCGATCGCACCAGACTCCTCGGTATCTACTCTATCCCGCTCCATGACAATAGACAAAACACGGAGCTACTGTACATCGGTTCAACCAAACGCTCTTTAAGCACCCGCCTACGTGAACACCAAGCGGATATCCGGCACGGCAGGCTGACCACAGCCCTAGCCACTTATGCATCCGACCCCGAAGTCGAGGTGCACTTCGAGAAGGCTACCATTATTGTCAACACGCCCCACCAACAGCAGCTTAGATGGCTGGAAGCCGCGGCTATCCACAACGCCGACCGGCTAACTACCTGCATTAACCGGAAAGAGGAACTAACCTTGTCTCTGGCCTGGCAATCGCTATTGGACGCCAACCCACCGCTTCCTCCCCCCGCCGCACGACCGCACACACCGGAAGAGACCCACCCCCTCGAAACCGACACCCGATCCCAGAGAATAATATACACTCCGTCCGGGGAATTCTTTCAGTTGACCTGAAGAAGAGCGATTGGAACGCTCGAAAACGTTTGTCAGGATATTTTAACATATACGCACAGAGCACCGGTCACAGGTTCCGTAGTGTGACGTTACTTACCATTACTAACCAGTGGCCTAAGATGAATGACATTGGCAATGATCATTGGTGTGGTGTTCAGAGTGAGAGGTACGCGATCCCGCGAGCGAAATGGTACAAAAAAAAGAGTCTCAACACAAAGTATTATTTTTCTCACTGAACAGGTTCGTTTATTGGATCCCAACTTTACAATTTTTCGAATTTTATGCGTACACCGGTGCTCAATGGTACACCTCGAAAACAGTTATCTATTACCCACGCGACAAAAACCTGATGAGGACCAAAATTACTTAAACTAACTTACGCTAACTTACACTAACTTATGACTAAAGAAGAAAGAATATAGGATATAGAGATAGACTAGGAAAGAAGTAGAAATACCCGGGTTTAGATTCGATGAGCCCTTGGTTGGAGAACACTTCGGACTAATAGGCCTTCCCTCGATGATCTCCCTCTCTCTCTGCACTTTTTATTCTTAGGTCACTTCTTATTTGTAGACCTTTCGTCTACAGTCTTTGTCTTTCCGATTGAGTTGTCTTTGATTACCTCTCACTTGTAAACTTTTTGTCTACAGTCCTTCCTTTTTTCTCTCTCTGGATCGCTTCGTCCCAGATCACTTCACTTGTAGGAGCACCTCTCTGTTCCCTCCTACCTACTCGAGATCTCCACTCAATCTGATCTTCCTTCTCTCTGTTTTGCTTCCGGGCCTCACTCCCTTTTCCTTTGTTCTTTATTTCTCCGAAGAGGGTAATCCTCCCCCAAGGGCAAAAAGGGGTT